CGGTCTGAGTCTGGTTTCTGCGGGTTTGTTCTGGTCTGATCCCGTCTCACTCACAGCTGCTCGACTCCTAATATTCAGTCAAGCTCGTTTAATGACGCTCAGATGTGTTTCTATTCAGCGCAGCATGCCAGAACGTCAAATGAAGACACTATTGATTTTGTTTTCATTGATTTCTAGACATTTTGAGCCCATTAATCTTGATCACTGATTTCTGCACTCATAAAATTAGATTAATTAAGGGTGTTTGACACGCCTGCCAGACTCAATTAAGTTAGATTTTTTGTTCAAATGTTTTAAGAGTCGGTCATTTATCTTGCATGGCATATTTTTCTCCTCTCCATCTGTCTTGAGCTTTCAGCAATAGTTTTGGTCTTGTTGTGTTTTGTTTATTTATTCATTCTTAAAGGTAGTACTGCTATGTTGTCATGGACAACTGTCAGATATAACCGACCAATCAGAATCAAGCATTCCAGAGAGCTGTGCAATAATCATTTGTAAAATTTACAGAAATTTAAGTGCAAAATATTTAGCCGTGTTTTTATTTCATGCAAAAAAAATAAAAATAATAATAATTAATTGATAATAGCCCAACGAATATATACAGTGCCAATTATCATGTAATTAATTGCTTCAAACAACTGAAACACTGGTGAAAATCCAAATGGTGCTCATTCACCATCAGTGAATTTTAATGAAGAGCCTGAAATATTTCAGCACTTACAGAGGAACCAATGTCAGCCTGCCTTTGATAATCATTTAGCAACAGAATGTAATTATAATCTATTCATACAATGAGAGCTTTATTTGCTTTGTTTCTGGGCATCACATTACAGCGTGGATTTTTCCAATATGTGTTAATTATGCAAAGAAACAGACTAAGAGCCGCCTGCAGCCAGAAATCAACGACTACTTAAAGCCGAACGCATTTTAATCTGTGGCACGTCTTGAATGCCGGGCTGATCCTCCTCAGCCTCGGTTGTTTGCCTGCAGTCTCTGAGATCCTTGCAGGCTTTGGGCCCTGTTCCCTCCAAGAGACTTCCTGTGTCTCATTTCCTCCTGAAGCGAGAGTGGCTTTGGCAAACACAAATACAGTTAATCAGATGATGAGGATTTAAAATAAATAAAACTAAATAAATAAATATATAAAACATTTTCATTACTTGAAATAAAATAAACATTAACTGAAATAAAATACAAAAAACAAACATATTTTATTTCAGCTAGTTGCTAAGATAAAAGTTTAGTTTGTTGAAGTTCTAAAATAACTAAAACTAAATGAAATAAACGTAAAACCATAAAAATATCATTACTTGAAATGAAATAAAATAGACATGAACTGAAAAAAATATATATATATGTTTTATTTCAGATGGTTGCAACATTTCTAATTTTTATTTAATTTAAGTTGACACACTTCATTTAATTTAGTTTCAGTTATTTTAAGTGTGTCAACTTAAATTAAATAAAAATAGAAATAAAACCATAAAAACATTATCTTTAATTGAAATAAAATAAACAATAACTGTAAAAAATAAAATAAACTTAGTTCAACGAGTTGCAAAGGCAATATTTCTAATTTTCATTCCAAAATAAGTTCTAAAAAAACTCAAACTAAATGAACTAAAACTAAAACTAAAACCATTACTTGAAATAAAATCAACATTAACTGAAATAAATAAAACATATTACAATAAACACAAATAACAAAACAATAAAATAAAATATTAACATTTATTTGTTTCAGCTAGTTGGCAAGGAAACAATTCTAATTTTCATTTCACAAGTATTAATATAACTCAAAATAACTAAAATCTAAAACGTAATAAAAACTACTATAGCCTGAAAAAACTAACTATAACAAAAACACACAAATTAAAATGAAAACCAAAAAATTTTAATTTGGAATATTAGCAAACTAGTATTTTAGAATACTAAGATTGTAAAGTAACACTGCTTTGTTTGAAGAGGAAATGTGTCAATCTTTGCCATTCCTTTTGCTGACGCGGTGTTTCTGATTTAATGAGGATATTTTGCAGATATTTCATTCAGCTAAACAATGATTTTTCATCGGTGAGCTCTTGGAGTCTGTGACGGTCTGAGTCTGGTTTCTGCGGGTTTGTTCTGGTCTGATCCCGTCTCACTCACAGCTGCTCGACTCCTAATATTCAGTCAAGCTCGTTTAATGACGCTCAGATGTGTTTCTATTCAGCGCAGCATGCCAGAACGTCAAATGAAGACACTATTGATTTTGTTTTCATTGATTTCTAGACATTTTGAGCCCATTAATCTTGATCACTGATTTCTGCACTCATAAAATTAGATTAATTAAGGGTGTTTGACACGCCTGCCAGACTCAATTAAGTTAGATTTTTTGTTCAAATGTTTTAAGAGTCGGTCATTTATCTTGCATGGCATATTTTTCTCCTCTCCATCTGTCTTGAGCTTTCAGCAATAGTTTTGGTCTTGTTGTGTTTTGTTTATTTATTCATTCTGATGAATGTAATATTTCAGTCCTTTGCCATCTGTTCAATATTTATTGAGTTTGATTAGGAATATTATCACAATTGTTTTGATCTAGGATTTTTTTTTTGTGATATTCATTAAACAAGATAAGGTACATTTTATGTATTATTATTTTAATCCTATTATTTTATTTAAAAAAAAATCATAATTATTTTTAACTATTTAGGAGCAGTGTTTTATAACTAAATTAATAAACAAGAGAAAGTACATTTCATTTATTTTAATTCTGTTATTTCTTAAAAATCAAAATTCTTTTGATCTATTTAAACACAAGGATTTTATTTATTATTATTTTAATTATATTATTTCATGAAAAAAAATCACAATTTTTTTGTCGGTTCAGAAGCAGGGTTTTATAACGATATTAATTAAACAAGAGAAATTACATTTATTTTCTGTTATTTTATAAAAATCACAATTCTTTCGATCTATTTAAGAGCAAGATTTTATAGTAATATTAATTAAAAAAGAGAAGGTACATTTTTGTTATTTTAATTTTATTATTTAATATGATCACAATTCTTTATATATATATATATATATAATAAAGTAAGTATTATAATAATATTAATAATGTTTAATAATAATAATTATTATAGTTATAATAATAAATAACATCACTTAATTATATATTTATTCATTCATTCATACATTTTGGGCAGAATAGTGACCTGGGCTTGTTTTCATAAGACTCTCTCTGTTGTGAGAGGTGAAATGGAGAGGTTCAGATGCGAGTGACAGTGTGGTTTTAGTTCTGTACTGTTCTTTCGGATAACGGGACGTTGAGCAGGTTTAATGTCTCTCTCTCTGTTTGTGTGTGTGTGTGGTGTTTGTGAATGTCTCTCTGTGAGTGAGTGTGTGTGTGCGTGTGTGTGTGCGTGTGTGTGTGTGTGTG